AAAACCATAAAAAACTGTTAGAACTAAGAGTGTTCATAAAACTATTTTGGACTAAAATATTTTGAAAACTAAACTAAATTATGGCTAGTATTGATATTGTTGTGGCTGCTATCATTGCTAACATCATTACTATCGTTGTTGATACCATTGCATAAATGCACTCTTAAACTAGTTTTAATAAGATAAAACAAATCAAATTATTTTGTTTTAAATCCATAAAAAAACTGCTAAAACTAAAGGTGTTTATAAAACTATTTTGAACTAAAATATTTGAAAACTAAACTAAATTATTAAAAATTGAAATATTTTTTTAATAAAAACTAAACACTTAAGAAAATTCCTACTGTAATTTTAAATAAATTTTTATTTTAATTTATTTGTTCATGTATGATTTGTCTTCACTATTTTTTAAAGAGAAAAAAAAAATTATTTTTCACGAATCACATATTTCTTTCTCTAAATATTTAATGCAATTATATATCTATATATAACTTCAAACTTGAAAAAATTGATCAAGTTGAAACAAATTCCTCGTTAGTCGATAAGATTGTTCAAAAATTACTTCAAGTTATACTATTAGAAAACTAAATTGAATTAGACTATAAAAAATACTGAATTATTTTTTTTATAAAAATTAAATTGAACATAAGTTTGATTTTAAAAATTAAATTACTATAAAAATCAGTTTCATTCAATTCAAATTACAAGAAAAAGTATGATTTATAGTATAAAAATAGTTTAATTCGATATAAAGTATATTTTAAGTAGAGATAGAATATCAACTAGTAGTTCTATAGTTACTTCTTATGTGAACTTGAATTATTTTGTCTTGGTTATTTTGTAAGTAATTTTTTAAAAACGATTTTCACTGACTTATTATTTAAAAGATTTTAATTTTTTTCAAATTAAATCATGTTAGACACAATTTAGTTTATTAATATAAGTTTGAGAATAATTTTTTTTTATTTATAATATCTTAGTTAAATTTACAGGAAAATAAAAGTTTAGTTTAGTTTAAATCACAGTATAATTCAAATTATTAAAACTATAATTTATTAAATTAGAAAAAAATTTGTTTGATTTTTTTCGAACTATTTTATAGTTTAATTTCCTAGTTTTATAGTTTAGTATAGTTAAGATATGGTTTAGTTTAGTTCTAACTTTTTTCAACACCCCTAACTGAAGCTAAAACCTTATTGCAGTATTAAAAATTTACAGACCCTTAATTTAAAGATTTAAAATGAAGGAGGAGACGAATTTGGATAAAACAAAAAGGGAAACATGAGGGCAATTTCCCTAGACTAGGAAGTAGACATTGAAAGCGTTGTTGTGGGACACTCCCCTTTGTTGTTTGCCATTGCACCATATACCGATAAACAATATCTCAAATCTTTATCGACCACCTCTTTTTTTTTTTCTTTTTTTTTTTTTCTGGAATATCAATCGTCAATAACAGTGATTAATCTTCTCGCTACATTGGAAACACTTCAAAGGATGAGATAGCTGGCCCAAAAATTTAATACATAAGACTCTATTGTAATATTTTTTTAAAAATGATTTTATTTTTTATAATTTTATTTATTTTATCTTTTAGTTTTCATAATTTTAAAAATATATTTTTAGTACTTATACTTATTTTTTAATATTTTCTAGTTTTTACAATTTAAGATATTTTTTTATTCTATGCAATTTTTTTAAAATTTTTTAATCCTTATCATTAAATTTATTTTTATAATATTATTTTCATTCATGTTAATATGACAGATGTATTAATTCAATTTTATATGTCTTAAATCATATTTATTTTGCTGAAGTTACTTTAAATTATATTTCTTGATATTTTGTGTCCCTTTTATATCCTTACTTGCAATATTGATTATTGATATACCTTTTTAATCCTGACAAAATTGAAGCTTATTACATTAACACAAAACAGACAATATAACAAAAAGAACAACAATAGAGATTAAAAAAATTATAAGTATAAAGATTAAAAATATTCATTTTAAATTATAAAAATTAAAAAATATAAATAAATAAATCAAAAATATTATTTTAAATTATAAAGATTAAACAAGTAAAATAAGTGAAACAGTAAGTAGAACAATTTTTTATTTTATTTTTATGTCGAATGAAAAACTTTTTTAGCAACTCTCGTGGACAAGGGCTATGATCTCTCTTTTGATCTGCATTCTCACGCTCTGACATTTCTTGTCAGGTGTAATTAAAACCGTCCAAATCGGGACGAGTTGAGGCAGATACTCATAGGGTTAAGTTAGGATGTCATGCTTAGTGCCTTGTGCACATCACAACACAAGTCAACACAATGTGTCTCATGCACATCACAACACAGTTCACCACATAACATAATTAAATCAATACAATTGCTACTACAATCATTAACATCATTATTGCTAGTATTGACATTGTTGTCGGTACTATCATTGCTAACATCATTATCATGATTCTTCTACAGTTAATATTCTTCTTCAATCAAAATTGATATTCCTTCGATAATGTATAGTAAATATACATTATTGTCTTGTAATGTATATATTAATTATAATCATGTGAAATTTTAATTTTAATCAGAGAACAGTATTGATAATATATATGACATTGTATTTAAATTTTATTCAAAATAAAAATCAATAAGTGAAAGTGTGAAACCAGATTTCATCGCTTTAAATAATGATTGTTTTATATTTGAAATTGAATCTTAATAAAAAAAATGTATTTAAAATAATAAATTCTACTAAAATAATTACTTAAATTTTAAGTAAAAATTAGTCATTGATAAAATTACTATCCAAATAATATAAACAATAAAAATAGAAATTTAGAAAAAGAGAAGAAGAAGTAGAATAAACATTTAGGGTTATTAAAATGGATTAACTTATCCCGTTTGGATCAATTATCTCAATCCATTTCCTTTTTAAACATTTAAACTTTTTCAGTTTGAGTTGATTCATCATGACATAGTGGACTAAATAGGTCAGTCTATTGACTTACCTATTTTTTTAAAATTAATTTAAAATAAAAATTGTTAAACTAAATATTATACATATAACATTAAATTTAATTTTAAAAGTGTAAAATTTAAATAATCAAAACAGAAAGATAAAAAGAATATTATTAGAATGATTATCTATCAATATTAAACTTCGTTAGAGACTTGAGTAGATAAATTTATAATAATTTTTTGTTATTTAATAATTTTATCTTCATTTTAAAAAAATGATATCTTATTAAAATAATATATATATAATATCAAATAATTAAATAAATCGTTGATGAATTAGACCGAGAAAAATATAAGTAATTAGATGAATAATCCGATCCACCATATATTAAACTCGAATGAATCATAAATAAAAAATAGTCAAATTAAATTTTATAATTAATTATAAATTTAAAAAAGAAATTCAACCCAACTCGTTTTTTAGATAAACCGAATTAGCCCACCGGTTAAAACCCAACCAACAACAAAAGAACAAAGGAGGGGTAAAGTAAAGCGAAAAGAAGGTTGATATGGTGTTACTGTGCCCACCAGCTACCATTTTTTATCCCTTCATAAACCTACTTATCTTAGACAGACCGAGAGATTGTTGCTTAAACCTGTCCCTGATTATGATGACTTTTAATCATTATGATCGTACTACCAAATTGTCGCTTTACTTTGAAGAAAGAAGAAGAAGCAGAATACCCAAACAAGAAAGACACTTCGTTCAAGTTTCTTTAAAAATTATTTTTCTATCTATTCTATTTTGTTCTTTAATTTGGTGCATAGTAAAATAATATCAAAACACTGTGTTGACTCTCGAAAAAAAATGAGGATAAGATTATTCAAGTTCCATAACATGGTAAGATTTTCTTGTTAAGATTAGCATCAAAATGACGTGAAAGTAATTTCACATTTTAATGAATGTTATGCCATAGAAAATTGAATTGGAATTGATGTAAATGAAATACATATGAAAAATAAACATTTATTTCATATATTATATGTATAATAATATTTGTTTTCAAAAACTATATTTAAGATTATTTATTCAACGACTTTATGACAGAAAATTCATTTCTTCTTTTCGACTACTTTTTTCTTTGCTTTCAATTAATATCCTATAATCACGGTCTTATACTTTATGATGTTGATACAGTATAAATTTAAATATCGTGTAAAACCTGATAATATAACATGCCAATTAAATAAGAAAAAGAATCCCATTATACAAAATTATAAAATGCCAGCCCCCTCTTTTCTTTTTTGAAGAAATTAGATTCTGTACTTTTTCCATAAATGTAAAATTATGATTCGATACCTTTTTCACTAATAAAGATAGTGTCTAATTTTGATATACATTGTGGAGGGAAAATATTTTATATTGTTAATCAATTAAAAAAATAATGATAAACATCATAAACATAACTTTTAATGAAATTATTTTAACAATCAACAAATTTATCATGTTAATTTATTATTAAATAACCATATAAAAACTATTTACATCTTTACTGCATTGACCGTTTATAAACATTAAAAAAACATTTAACTATAAACTCAAAAATGTCAAATGACTAATATTTTAATTTAAGTAAATAATGAACAACAAAGCATATAACTAATTTGGTTTTTGTTCCTGAGGGGAAAAAAACTTTCATCAAGGTAAAAAATTATTAAGTATGGAAAAATGCATAAAAATTGTGTGTTTGTGCAGATATTGGTCTACTAGTCTATAATTGTTTCGCTATATTTAGGCATATCTATAAGATGAAAGCATATATATACCTTATCTGTTGGATGACTGATATGATTCGTGTCCCTTTACTCTACAATTTTAATTTTCATTTGACTTTAACCTCACTCTCGTCATTTAACGCCGTCAATTCCTTGAATCCGACAACCAACGGAGAAAAGTGTCTCGGTGAAAAAATCGCCGTTAAAAACCATCTATAAATAACCTTAAACCAACGAAGGAACACAAACACAAGAGAGAGGGAAAAAAATAAGAAAAGAAAAAGGAGGTTTTTGATAAAGCAAAAGAATATTATTGATACATAAAATTTGGACTTTCTTTGCATTTGGCACCCACCCCACAACGAAATAAAACAAAACAAGCACACAACCAGAGACACACGCAGAGAGAGAGAGAGAGAGAGAGAGAGGAGAGAGAAGGAAGAAGAGGAGGAGGAAGAAGAAGAAGAAAAAAGAGATCTTGTGAGATCAGGCCACAACTGTAAGCTACATTTCTCACATTCTTAGCTGATTCTGTTCCCATTTTCTGTTTGGCTTTCTTCTGCTTTACAATGCTAGTGTCGATCTCTCTTGCACCTAACTCTGATTCGTGGTACTGTGGAGAGATTTATCTGACATTTCCACTCTACTGTGCTTGTTTCTGTGATTTCTGATGTGGGTTTTTCTCAGCGTCTTTTCTTTCTTTGATCTTTCTTCTGATTCGTTGTTTTTTTATACCCACTAGTGCTAGCTAGCTCCTGTGAAAATCGTCTTCTTTTACCACCAAGTGTGAAACTTTTCCTTTTCAAAATGGGGATACGCATTTTGGGTCAAAAGTGGAATTGAATTTCCTTTTTACTTCTCTATTTTTTTTATTTTTTATTTTTTATAAAAAAACTATTGCTATATTTTCGGTTGATTTCTTCATTTGTCGGCTTCATGTTAAGCTTATTTTCATCCATGGCCACAATTTTTCTTTTCTCTTAGAAAGTTTTAATTTTCAGTTCCGTCTTCTGGCTCAAGTTGTCAAACATGTAAGTGGTGAATTTAGTTGTTCGAATTTGTCTTTTTGCTTCTCCGTTTCTGTTCTTTCATTTTCAGATCATGTTGGAGTAATTTCTTAGTTTTCTTTTGGCTATGTGCAGTTTATTTTTTTTAAAAAAAATTATATCTAGAAGTGGTGAAAAAAATAGCTCAACATTTGAAAGTTACAAGGCGGTTGACAAAATGGCCAAAATCACTAATAATAATGAAATCTATTCATATGAACAACATTTGCTTATTGAGCTGGGTGCTCTCCTGGATCTGTTTAAAAATTATTTGTAATAAATAACTTCTGTTTGCCTTTTCTTTTTTAAATCTCTATAAAGATATCAAACTCATCCGAGTCTTTTACCTTCGTTTTAAGGGCAATCTACTAAACTGACCTTAAACATATAAAGCAAGCTTTTGTTTGGTTTCTGGTGTAACGGATATATATATATATATATATATATATATATATATATATGTGAGAG